TCATCGAGCCACAAGTTCAAGCTCAAGCCTATACTCAAGCTCGTAAGCTCGTTCAGCCACTTGATTAACTTAAAATATATTTTTAAAAAATATTTAAATTAGTATTATATAATATATTTTAATATTTTTAAATTAATTCAATATTAAAATTAAAATTCTAAGAAACTGAAAATTTTTATTTAGAATTAAGAAATCGAGCTCAACAATTAAGTTAAGCTATAACTTTCCAAACAAGATCGAGTCTATAAATTTTTTAACGAGCCGAGCTCGAAGTTAGTAAAGAAGCTTGAAATCGGTAAGAATTAAATAAGCTTCATTCAATTAGGCACATACTCAACTCAACTCGACTCGTTTACACCCCTAGAAAAAATCCTGAACTCAAGCTACTCTATAACCCCAATATAAGCCTCTCGAGAATAGAACTGTACTCTCCAATCATGTAATCAATTATTTTCATGAACAACATTGAAAAAAAACAAGTTCACTTTAGAGAATTAGTTATTAGTTTTAAACACAATATATTTAGTTTCAAGAAAACACTTACAAAATGAGCATTTAATAAAAAATCACAACCAACAAGCAAGACTTACTCCGCGAGTCATAACATTCATCCCAGAATCCCAACAAACTACGCACACGAATTTCTTTAATACTAGAACGTTGAAAGCTCAAGATAAAGCTCTTCACAAGAAAAAAACTCATAATATTAATCAACCTAAATTGCACAAGCTAGCGACACAATGATCTATTGTGAATAGATTCATAAGTCGTAATGTTAAAATCTTAATTAAAATGGTTCAAAAGAACATTCTTACAAAACCTACTCGATTAGTCGAACATTTTACATAAATGTAAAAATCAAATCCAATTCAATCATAAGTCATGAGTATACTCTTGCTTGAGAAATAAAAAAAAAAACACATTAAAAAAGGCACATTATAACCTCTCTTATTTTTTCTAGTTAACATTTTAAGAATTGACCTATGTCGATGTAAGACATTCTCCTAGATTGCTTCAATGATTATTCATAATCACAATATCAGAAGGCATCATCAAAACCTCCTATAGGCTACTCTACTACATCCTAAAAGCTGTCTGGCAAGTTCATACTATCTTCAGCCCCATGCCTCTCCTAAAGATCACATTGGTAACAATAAGTTTAGAACAGTTCAGAAAGGCACCAAGATAAAAGAAATCCCTCTGCCATATTCTTTCTCAAAAAAATCATCCTTCATATCTACTCAACAAGGAACAATTGATCTACAATGTTGGCATTTCTCTAGATTATCAAGAAATCTCTCAAACACATCTATATTGTTCAGACTCATAACAATACTACTTGATAAGATATTCAGCCTACTTAATATCATGCTATATCCAATCGACCTCAAAACTACTCAGCCCCTTAAGTGTTTAGTGCCAACTTCTCGATTTGCCAATCTATTTGATCAACTCTATCATACCATAATCTACCTAGACTCATCCCATCGGGTAGTTTCCTTACATATTCAAAGCCAAATTTTTTAGACTAATTCAACGCTAAACCTAAGCGATTTACAAAGAGATCACCAGCATCTATGAGTTGGGATTAAAGCTCCAGAACAAATAGGAATGCATTATCTTTCTTTTCGAAACCCTAATACTTGGGCATTCAAAAGGGAAAAATTTATAACTAGATTCCTCGGTTGATGTGCTGACTTGCAAAGATGAAAAATCAAACTCCACTTTTGAGGTTCCAAGAAATTATCTTTGCTACCTAAATACTTATTATGCTGTTGGGTGCGCTTCATTTCTTCCAAGATTCAAATGATTGTGCCAACTATAATTTCTACCCTTCCACTCAATCCAAATACAATTCCAAATTTCCTCCCAACCAAACATGATTTCTTCATAGAATTACTTATTCTCAAAGTCTATTTATTGCACCAGTAATAGTTCACCACGTAAAATCGTCACCAAAAAGGATTCCACCTTTCATACGTAGCCAATAGTAGTTGCACAGACGGTTGCGCCTATAAAACCCTGACTGCAACTCATAAAAGGGAAGTAAGAGGCATAGTAAAACAAAGAAGAAACTCAAGATTATGGAGTGCCTAACTTCATAGACATTATAAGCCTTCTGAACTGAACCCTCTCAAGATATATTCGAGTTCTCAAGTAAATCTATAGCAATTATGAAGGATACCTAATCTCGTGAATTGTGCATGTAATAACTTGATGAATAGTGAAAACTCTTTCTTTTGCTATAGTTACATAGATGTCTATCGTTGAACCACTAAAATTCTCATATTTGTATTGTGTCACGGTCCTCTCTTCTTTTTAGCATTGGCGTAGACATTGTTCAGGATTAATTATATAATAAATTAAATATCAAATGACTTCTCAACTCTATCTTGAATTTAAATGACCATTTTTCCCTGATGTATGTTTGCCTCGCCA